AAAAATAATTTTTCTTTTATTGAAGGGAAATAATTCTGGGGCAAAGCCATCTGGAAAGGAATGTGGCAAACATTTTAAGATGCTGCCTCTCCATCTGGCTGAAGTCCCACTCACAGGATGGAGAATTGTTCTTCGCCATCTTTTCAAAAACATCCCATTGTCTTTGGGAAGCATCGAGAGAAGTGATTTAATCTATCCTTGAAAGATTGCAGCATGTCGAAAGAAAGAGGGTTATGGTTAAATGGAGACATCGCTGGAACGACCCTCTTCACCCAACAGCTTTGAAAGAAAACTACTCTGTGTTTGTGTGTGTGCAACACAACAGGACGCGTGTGTGTGTTTTGTTTCGCTGGAAAATTAATTGGGGAGCTTGTTATACGGTCTGGAATCGTGCTCCATGGTAATAAGGAGAACATCTTCTCAAATTGCGTGGGTGACAAAAGATGACAGAAGAGAGGTCCCAGCTGCCTCTGGTGAGAAATATCGCATGGAGGATGGTTCTGCTTCAGAGTCCTTTCTCCCAAATGCCTTTGCAAAGTATCTATTATTATTATATTTATCAAACGTATTTATATACCACCTCCCAACCCACCAGAGCCCCAGAGGTGGTCCACAAACACATTCAAAACAATGCAAAGATAAAAACAACAACACCCTTCTAAGAACAAATTGAAATACTCTTTTGGAACTTTTAAAAACAAACTAAGCATAGTCCTGTGTGTGTGTTGTATGCCTTCAAGTCATTTTTGACTTAACAGTGAACTTATCATAGGGTTTTCTTGGCAATATTTGTCCAGAGGAGGTTTGTCCTGGCCTTTTCCAGAGGCTGAGAGCATGTGACTTGCCCAAGGTCACCCAGTGGGTATCATGATTGAGCAAGAATCGAACCCTGGTCTCCAAAGTCGTAGTTCAACGCTCAAACCACTATGTCACGCAGGCGCTAATAAATTCAAAGATATAGCCATATTAGTCTGTAGAGAGATTTTGTAGCACCTTTGAGACTAACTAAAGAAAGAAGTTGGCAGCAGAAGCTTTCATAGACTAAAGTCTACTTCCTCAGATGCATCAGTCTCAAAGGTGCTACATGATCTCTCTACAAACAGGCTTCTTTAAGGTAACTTAAAAACCAAAAATTAAAATAGTGAAAATGGGAGTTGGGTATGCCAAACTTGGAGAAGAGAAGATGGAGACGTGACATGATCTGTTGCTGTTCATTGCCATCATGTTGACTTTGACTTTCACTGAATCTATGAATGAAAGACCTCCAAGTCAACCTGACCTCAGTAGCTCTGCTCTGGTCTTGCAAACTCAGGGCAGCCATTGTGCATTCCTCAATGGACTCCATCCACCAACAGTCTTCTTCATTTTCCTACTGTCTTCTACTTTACCAAACATTGTTGTAAATGGGGCATTTATGTGTGATGCACAACATCTGTATCCAGGTTCAAGCTTGTAGAAGCAAAGTTGTCCATGCGCTGGCATTGTGCAAGGGTGTGCAATGCACATGGCATATGCAGGTAGTGGATGGGCATTTAGTTATGCCTTTATGTGCACCATGCACCATTTCATTAACAAAGTGGCATCACAAAACCATTCAACATAAGACTCTTATGAGTTTTTCTTTTAATTTAAAAGCACACAACAATGTGCGTTTAATTTTGCACATAATTACCCCAGCATATGCATTTTTTTTTGCATAGAGTCTTCCTGAACGTATGCATTTTTTCATACAGTTTCCTCTAATAGAAGTTCCCACCCCCATGCAACTTTTCCTAATACATACTCTCTCTCTTTTTAAAATAACTTTTGAACCACAAATGACATTATAAAAAATTGGAGATGCAGGGAAGGAGAAGTGCATTTCAATCCACTTACTAGTCTGGGGAATATGGATGAGGCAGGGATGCTTAAAAATGCAGCTCAAACCACATTCTCCCAGTGCCTGGTTCCAAGGTGACTGGGTCCCATTTCTATGCCCATATACATCATTTATCTCCATTTGGTATAGATTTTCCTCCCCAACAGTCTTGCAAGTCCTCCCTGAGTATGCCATGTGAAATTGAGCAGTTATATTTATGCATCAAAAGCAACCATCCCATTTGCTGGAAGGTAAGGTGTAAGAAATTATCAAGCTGCAAGATGATGATGATGATGATGATGATCATTATTATTTTTGGCTGTTCTTATTACCTCCCCACTGAAAGAGTTATTCTCCTATGTGTATGTACCTAAGGGATTATTTATCTTCCTAGCCGTATGCTGTATGCACCTCTTTACCTTTTCACAGGGAAAAAAGAAGAGACATATCTACCCTGAGAATAACTTCCTGGCAGTGAATCCCTCCAGAACATCTACAAAGTGAATGATTAACTGACTTGGTGGACCTGAAACTGCAGGGGGAAATGCAGTTTTGAGTAAAAAAAAGCAGATTACTCTTTCTTCTTGCCTTTTCTTGCATTCATCCCCACATCTCAAGCAACCATGGAAATGTTAATTCTGGGGCATTGTGTTTGTGTTGTGTGCCTTCAAGTCATTTCTGAGGTTTTCATGGCAAGGTTTGTTCAGAGGAGGTTTGCCACTGCCTTCTCCTGAGGCTGAGAGTGTGTGACTTGCCCAAGGTCATCCAATGGGTTTGCATGGTTGAGCAGGAATTGAACTGTGGTCTTCAGAGTCATAGTCCAAATGCTCAAAACATTGTGACACGCTGTATGAATTAAGACCCGAAATTTACTTATTGAGTATGTTAAATAAGTTAGACCTGGAGGATTCTCCTATATATGATTACAGCAGCAAGGAAGGCTACTTATAGCCCCAAAGTGGAAAAATCAAGATTTATCAACTCTGGATGATTGGGCTTTGTGGTGGAAGAGACCCAATAGTTTCTAATTTCTTCTCCAAGTTATGCAGAAATGTTGTTTTTGTATTTGGTATTCACATTGAACTGAACGTTTGACAGTGGAATGGGGAAAAGTTATTTGCTTACTCCAAAGGTGTCAGACAGTCAAGGTAAAAATACAACAACAACCCACAGTTCTGCAGAGACGAAATAAATTATGGGTTGCATCAAGTTTGCGGAGAAGATATTAATGATGTATTTTGAAACATCATCCCTCTTGGCAGAGCCATCCTCCTACACTTCTCTGAATCCCTAAACTAATAGAAGATGTAAGTCATTGCAAGTCTCCCTTGGCAGCTGCCAGCGTTTGAAGCAAGATCGGTTTCTGCAGTTGTGGCTTATTTGCAATTATGACACTGCAGTCAAAAGGAAAGTTCACCGTATTCATTGTCATTTGATTTAAATAAATCCTGGCATTGCCCTTGCAGAACGCTCAAGGCTTTCCAGAGAGGTTGCTTGCAGAAACTGGGAAATGGTGGGGTCAATGGTGGTGACTTCCCATTCTCTTCCTCATTTGTGGGTGTTGTAGTTGTTGTGGTGTCTTCCAACGAATGGTGACCCTAAGGCAAAATCATTGGGTTTTCTTGGCAAGATTTGTTTAAAGTGGGTTTGCCTTTGCCTTCCTCTGAGGCTGAGACAGTGTGAGTTGCCCAAGTAGGTTTCCATGGCCAAGTGGGGATTTGAACCCTGGTCCCCAGAGTCCTAGTCCAACACTCAAACCACTACACCACCTGGCTCTCAACTTTCCCACAAAACTGAGACTCAAACTTAGGGTGATTTGCAATTGAAAAGAAGGACGATATAGCTAGAGACATACAATATAGCTAGAGACATAGGGAGACCATTAAAGTAGAACTAAACTATTCACAATATTGTTTTTAATTTTTATTAAAAATGTTATTGATTAAAATACACAATTACTCACATATAAACAATTACAGTTACACATACATTTACACATAAACCATTACACATACAATTACACATATACAATTACACATACAATTACATACAAACAATTGCACACATATCAATCATAAAACCATTAAAGTAGAACTAAACTATTCACAATATTAAAACAATTTAAAACACACACCTAGCAAGACTAAAACACAGTCCAATGCCCATTCAGTAAAATCAATATGGATCCCTCTAAAGCCCTTCCTTTAAAAACATTCAGTTCTAAAAGTTTGCAATAGGAAAAGAACTTTAGAAAGAATAGGAAAGGTTTCTTGCCTGCTGACCGAAAGATAGCATATGTGCCATTAGTGTGTGAGAATGTCAATTCAAATTCAAAATCTTTAGTGTACGGAAATGAAATGGCACCACCAAAATGCATCTGAGGAAGTAGACCTTAGTCTACGAAAGCTCATGCTGCCAATTCCTTTCTTCCAAAGAGTCCCAAAGGTGCTGCAAGATCTCTACAGAGACGGTAGTACAGGTCAAGATATTATCCCTGGCCAATTGAATGCAACATTGTCCTTCTGTTCTTGATGGAAACAGGAGCTTCTGGAATGCTTCAGCAACAGACATCCTCTCAGATGTTTCAAAACTAAAACAGATGATTAGTCTAACGATGAAAAATGATGTTGGTTTGTTCAGTGACGCTCCTTCCTTTTCCTTTATTGGATTAAACTTATTGCATTACTTGGTGATGGCAAATCTGCTTTGAGAGTGGGCCTGATGCTCTGCTTCGTTCCTTGCATCTCCATCTCCAAGAGCAAAGGGACGGACGTTCTTGCAAATCTACTGCAAAGGACCCAGACAGCAACAACAAGAAGGCGACTTTCTGCTAATATCTTATAGCATACAGAGTCATTGTGTGTAAAGAACCGGAGCCACAATCCTTAGGACAAGGATGGCAACTGTGTAGACCTCGAAATGGGGTTGGACTGCAGTTCCCAGCATTGGGGATGCTGGTGAGGACTGCTGGGAGTTACACTCCAATGACATCTGGAGGGTGACATGATTCCATCCCTTCCTTGGAACAATACATTTCTTGCTTCCCTGCCTTTTCCTGGCATGTACAAATGGAGGGCAAATGGTCTCCCATCAACCGAAGCAAAGAATGCAGAGGCATTTCCAAAGCTCTCACAGTCAACATCTTCCTCCTCCTCCTCTTCATCCCACAGTGATGCACTTTGGGTTGTAAAGCCCCCTTCAGTGGCAAACTGGATTGGTTTTGTTTGAGGTTTGGGACTGGGGATTTCTGTGTTAAACAACTGGAACTGGTTCCAAGTATGAACCTACTCCGGGTCCCTCCTCTCTTTTGGAGGAGTTGGCAGTATTGTGAGTTGGTGTGAAGGTGGAGTGGTCTGAGCACTGGACTACGTC